ATAGTTTGGTATTATAAACTTAAGTCCTATAAAATATTTCATTCTTCAAATTTATTTAACTACTAACTTGCCAACCAAACCCAACCCGTCCCAATTTTCAAGGCTTGAGTTGGATTGACATTTTTCTAAACTGCCATAATTGGGTTGAGTTGTATAAATATTGCAAACCTCCCAACCTAACACGACAACCCTATCGGGAACCCATCAAGAACCCAATAAAGAAAAAAAAAACACTATAATATGTAGGGTTGAAATAATAATATATCCATGATAAGTATGTATATGCATTATGAATATTACAATGGAAATTAATATTTATGATGAATATCATATTTATATGAATATTAAAAAATTGTTATATATGCGTGAATATACATAAATATTAATGTATAAATACTGAAAAACTATTGTATACATCTAAACCAATATAAACATACATGACGAATAATATATATATATATATATATATATACACACACATAACGAAAAAATATGTATATTCATGATGAATGCTATAGTGAAAATGTATATTCATGTAATAATATTAAAGAGTCACTATATCCAAGTGAAAGTACACTAATATTTATGATGAACAATATATATATTCATGATAAATGTTATACTGGAAATATATATTAATGATGAATATCATACTGATGTATGAATAATTGAATGTTGTTGTATACATACAAACAAACATATATATTTATGATGAATGTTATAGTGGAAATGTATATTTATAACTAATAACATATTTAAGAGTCGTTGTATCAGGAATGGACCCATTAATTTTTTCAAACAGTGGCACCATTTGACCATAAGAAAAAATATAGGGAAAAATTTTCAAACGGCGGCAACGTTTGATTATAAGAAACAAATATATGGAATTTTTTTCAAACGCTGACACCAATTGACTAAGAAAATGACACTAACAGGGTTCGAACTTGGGTCTGGGGTGAAATAAAGTTTTGCATACCAACTCTACCAAATAAAACTTGACAACAAACTAATTACAGTTGCACCGTTCACGAAACCTAATTTTTTACCTTTCGACAAATAAATAATACGGTGGCACAACTGGGTCCGTCCATGCGTTGTATACACATGAACGTCCATGAATATTCATGATAAATAGTATGTATATTCATGATGAACGGGAAAAAAAAAATTTCCACAATTTATCATAATTAAAGAGTTTGTAAAATAAATATCTGTTATATATATATATATATATATATATATATATATTTAGCCTACCTCTGTTTGAAAACCACAAGCAATCGGTTTAAAGAAAATCTAATCGATAGATTTGTAAGGGTGGTTTAAAGCATGTGATAAGGGTATGAAGATCACGCGAATATAACGCTCAAAAACATGCTTTTTGGTGTAAATGCGTGTCTTCAAATATTATATATATACATATATATATATATATATATTATAAAGCATTTGATAAAAACTATTAAAAACCATTTTTTATGTATGAAGTACTGTTTATTGATGCGTATTACTTAAAATTTAAGATTACAAGTAAATTGTGCATAAGTACAACTTACTAAAGCTCTATATTTGAATTCGTGTAACTAATTGTGGATAAACATGATCAAATATAGGATAAACATCTCATTTTAAAATATAAAAAATCTAAAATATAATTATGATAATTATTGAGTTCTAGCAAAATATTTAATTATTATCTTTATAAAAATTATATTATTAAATCTAAATTAAGTTACTTCGTTATGATAAATTAAATTATAATAAAAATTTTGAATTAAAAAAAATACATAAATAAAAAAATTTAAATAGTTAATTTGATACTAATGTTAATATATTTTTTGCAAATTTTATATAATATTTTCAAATTTATATTTTATTCAAAAATAAAAACATTATCAGTTTCTTAAAACCACATAAAATCATATTATATCGACATGGATAAAAAATAAAATGAAACATTGAAATGAAAATATGTCTCGATGCATTGCACAAATATTAGTTCTTATTTTATGTGGTTCAAATAAATACATATCTTTTAAAGTTCTCTTTAAAATATTAACGATATAAATTGTTATCTAAATTTTTTTAATATTGTTATATTAATAAATAATTTAAAAAAGTCTAATTAATTTAATATATTTATACGTCAAGTAATTTTTTTTTTAAACAAATATAATATATTCTTTAAAAGATAATATTTTTTAGTAAAAAAGGAACAATTCTTATTTTCCTTTTTTCAAAAAACACATATTTTTTTAAAAATGTTAGCGAGATAAGTTATATTCTACTAGTTTTATTGATATTGGTATATTAATGAATAATTTAGAATTTTTTTTAATTCATTTAATACATTTATTAAATAACATGTAAAATATCTAAATAAAAATTAAAAATACAGTGTGTAATAAGAACTAGTAGATGTTATAATAAAATAATTTTGAAAGTACAATGATGTAGTAAGAAAGTCACATCACTATAATACATGTGGACAGCTTACGTGGACAATGAGGTGACATGAAAACCTAGTATAATGGGTAAATTTAAATCAAAAGGTTACCCAATGCTATAATTGGTAAATTTTTCAAAGTACAATGTCCTAATAAAAAATAGTTTGAAAGTACATTGGTGTAATAAGAAAAACTGAAAATACAATGCTATAATAAAGATATTTATGAAAGTAGATTGTTATTTTGTGTATTTTGTTCTCTCTTATATTTGTACAATAATACAACTCAATCTCAACCGTCCATTTAATTTGATTAATATGTAATTTCATAGAAGTTTTGATTGTTTCCTAATATAAAGTATTAATCATAATTAATGAACCTTATTCATCTTCCATAAATATTTAAATTATAATAAATTAACTCTCATCATTTCTATAAATATTTTAATTGATTGGATTGCATTGGTTGTACAAATGTAATGAGTTGCATTTGAAACAAACTATATATATATATATATGGAATAAATAAATATGTCACTTTTTTAGTAAATTAATTTTTTTAACCCTAATTGTTTCTATAGAATATTGAGGATAAAGTTCGTAAAATATCCAATTATGATAACAGACTCGAACTAGCGATTTACGGCGAAGAGTATTAAGCCCGAGTTAAACTCACTCTCAAGATTTAATAAATTACTTTTGACGGCTTTCGGCTGATTCTAAATAAATATTTTTTATGTTAAATAAACCGCTATATTGTAATCACTCTCATTTATGTCAAAGTCGAAACCTCGTTTATATTTCATCGTATTGTTTTTATCTGATTCGAAAAAAATCGTTCATCTATGTCTATTTTTTTTTATAAAGACAATCATCATACTTGAGAAGATTGATAAAAAAACCTATATTTAGAAAACATCAAACAATTTTTAACAAAAACCATATATAATCGTCATATATATACATATAATATATATGTATAGAGTTTGTTTCAAATGCAATCCATTATATTTGTACAACCAATGCAACCCAATAAATTGAATTATTTATGGAAATGATGAGAGTTCATTTGTTATGATTTAAATATTTATGGAAGATGAATAAGGTTCATTAATTATGATCAATACTTTATATTAGAAAACAATCAAAACTTATTCGAAATTACATATTCATCAAATTAAATGGACGGTTGAGATTGAGTTGTATTGGTTATACAAATGTAAAGGGTAGTATAATAACCCACCTCTATATGTATATGTATATATGTGTGTGTGTGTGTGTGTATAAGAGAGTTATCAAATGCAAATCACTCATATTTGTACAAATAGTGTAAGCCACCATTATCTGTCGATTTCATTATTTAATTTGGTGAAATTATTCATGAAATTATTTAATTTGATTAAATTGTTTCATATATTATTTTTCTTAATGGAATTGTTTCATATATGATTGTTTTTATGATTTAACAAAACGGTTTCATTTATTTCTATAAAATTAATATAATGAAGATATAATATCCATAATTAACAGCTCTCACAATAAAAATGATTAATCAACTTCTCATAATTACAAAAAAATAAGAAAAATTATAATCGATTGAATGAGTTTTATACGATTTATACAAATAACATAATTTGTAAAATAAATCATATATATATATATATATATATATATTGGTTACAATGATTGTCATATGAAAAAACATCAAACACAAATGATTACAAACATATAAGTCATGCTTTTTCCCTTTGAATATCCCATTTAACTTGTTAGAGCATATCCTTTTTTCAAAATTGAAAAGGTAGCAAAAATATACAAATTTTATACAAATATAGAAATTAAAAATAATAATTGTAGGAACAAAGATAAATACTTTTTTATTCTTTGTTAAGATTAAACTCTCTTACCTATCAATAAAATTAAAGAACACAATATTTTTTATATTGTTAATTATTTTAGGAATAATTAATATTGTAATATTTAACAAAAAAATTATAGTTAAAAAGTAATTTTTTTTTATATATTTTAACTTTTATTTCTACATTTTGAATAAATTATAATAAAAATGCTCGAAATGATCTTAAAAGAAATATTTATGATAAACTCTTTAAATCATAATTTTTTTATCTTTTAGGGATAGTTTACTAAACTCTTACCCGATAAATACTTATCGGGTAATTTTTTTTATCTAATGAACATAAAAAAGATCAAAAATCTTACTCGATAGGTCCCACCCCTTTTCTTGATATGATGGGGGTGTGTTTTGTGTAGGTATATATATAATATGAGATGTAAGCTTGTAAAGACAGCCTATATTTGTTGCTGAAAATAGAAGCCTTCTTCTCCTACTTGATGAACCTCACAGGAGGAACCCATCAACATCCCTCTCTTCCATCTTACCTTCAAACTCATACATGAAACCATTCAATTCTCTCTCTCTCTCTCTATCTTTGCCTCTTCCATAGGAAACTCATTCTCTCTCTCTCTCTCTCTCTCTCTTACATAAATTCCCATTTTAGGGTTTCTTTCTTCAATCTCTGAATCCATTTCCATCATGTCTTTAGACAACATCACACCATCAAAACAACCTAACAAAGATGAAACCCAAACCTCTGCCGGTGGTGGTGGTGGTGGTGGTGGCGGCGGTCGGAAAGCATCCATCTTGAAACCACCTGAACAAACCCTTAAGTGCCCTAGATGTGATTCACCCAACACAAAGTTCTGTTACTACAACAACTACAGTCTGACTCAACCCAGATACTTTTGCAAGACTTGTAGAAGGTACTGGACCAGAGGTGGTGCCCTCCGCAACGTCCCCATTGGTGGAGGTTGCCGGAAGAACAAGAAGACGAGGGTGAGTTCTTCGAGGTATGTCAATGGAGATTCTTCATCCAAAGACTCGTCTTTGGATATTGGAGGTCTGAGTTTGCTCAGTGGTCCTTCCCCTCCAGCCATGGACTTTCAGTTTGCTGGGATTAACAATAATATCAATATTCCACCTAGACTGAACCACTTCTCGTCTTCATTTGGAGATTTATCCAACAATCCTCCTCCTTTCATAAATCTTGATTCTTTAGGGTTTAATTTCCCTTCGATGAAACAAGATCATCATCATCATCAACCGCATGGAGGATTATCAAATTTTCAAGGAATGGGTGTTGCTGATAACCTTCATTTGAATCCCACCACTAATCTCGCTTCTTCCATAGAATCTTTAAGCTCTATCAACCAAGATTTACATTGGAGGCTGCAGCAACAGCGACTGGCTACTTTGCTTGGTGGCACCGGCAGCGACGATGGTGGTGGTGGTGGTGGTGCTGGAGGAGAACCTGATCAGCAACAGCAGCAAAATCAAATCGCTATTGAATCCCAATCTCAGAAGCTACAACCCATTTTGTTTCACAACCTGGAGATCCCAAAACCCTCAATGTCCAGTGACGTAAGAAAAGATGGCAGCGGCAGTGGTGGCGGTCTGGAGACGGAGTGGTTCTTTGACAACAATTATGCACCTGTGAATGTGAATCCGTCGACGGAGATGGCTCCAGCTGATATCAACACCGCCGGAAACTATCAAATTGGAAGCATTAACAACTGGAACATCGGGATGCAAGCTTGGAATCAATTCAATCAGTACAGTCCACTTCCATAGCCATCGTTAAAGATTGAAATTCGATCGAAGATCATAAAGTTATCAGAATTAATCAAAACCCTCCATGGTTTCCTACTTTTTTTATCATCCGTTTCCTTTTTTCTCTTTTTCATATGTTGGATTGAAGCAGAAACATCATGAAGATGGTAGTTCTTGTGTTCTTATAATTGTTCTCATTCTATGTTTTTAGATTCAAGGGTATAAACCGTATGTTGCATTGGTAATTGCCATTGTCATTATGTTCCGAATTAGCGTCTTTTTTAATCTGAAACCGTTAATTTTTACCGCATACTAACCATTTTTTGTTTGCTAAGTTGCCATAAAAAAATCATCTATCATCTTAGCATGATCTCTCGTTAACATTAATGAATTTGGTTAATAAAAGTTACTTTGAGCATCTTCAACAAAATGTATATTTTCTGCTATCTACATCTCAAATGAACACTAAAAATGATGGAATGAATGTTAAATCATCATATTTTATGTAATACAATTAATTTGCACTAAGGGGCCATTTACCTAAACACTTACCCGGTAAAATTCAACAATATCATGGTAAGAGTCGTCGCCCTCACTTACCGGGTAAGACTCTCGATTATTGTCTTCGTTCTTACCGGGTAAGATTCTTAGTCCTTGTCATATTCATCAAGTAAAGCAATGTAACTTAATAAGCGTTTGGTAAACAGCACATACAGATGATCCTTTTAAGTTTGAGATTTATGTAATTTATTTATTTTTATTAATGGAAATACAATTAATCATATGATCAATATTGAGAATATTATATGCTAGAATAAGAAGAAAAACTGAAGATCACCATTTTTTTAGTGATAAAATAGTATTAAAAAAGATTTTTATAATGATTTTAATATTTAATTATAAATAAAAATAATAAATAAGAAATGGGAGACAAGAGCATATCTTTGAATTTGTTTGATGTTGTGGGCAGTTGCAGTGTCTGAATCTGGAAACTATGTTGATGAGTCTTCTGAGTCAGTAGTTCCATGAAACATAACAATATCCAGGCATCTTCTTTCCTTTTACTACCACTACACCTGCCATTTTGCACCCTCAACCCCATACCATCATACAATCTATCACAATCACCCAATATCTTTATAAAACCACTTCTATCTAAAAATGTTGTAATAAGTTATATCACGTTTAACAAGTTTTTTATGACACTTTTAGTACAAAATATCGCATTAGCAATTTTACAGGACGTTTTTTTGGAAAGTGTCGTATCAACCCATCTTTTTATAGGACATTTGTTTTTACAGGACATTTTTCAAATATTGTCCTATAAACCTAAGAAATTATGGATGATGTTTCAACGAACGGGACAGAAAGTTTGCATGTTTAAGGTTTTGTTTAAATATTCGAACTTTTTCAAGATAATTCAGATATGATATGTTATAAAGCGAAGTAATAAAAAACAAGTCAAAATCTTTTGAAAAGAAGAAAAAAAAAGACAATAGGAGTGTGATATTATTGTCTGAAAAAGTGAGGGCTTGAAAGGACTATGAAAAGCATAACAAGTAGAATGAATGAATTAGGAAAGTATAAAGCTTCCATTTTAGCTTTTTAAGATGTTAATACCATGCCTACATTCATTCTATACACCATTACACATTCAATGAAAAACAACCTTGTATTTATTAAGGGTTACGTATCAAGTTTATCTGCTTAATCGTTGTATCGTTGATCGTAAAGTTATGAGTTCAAATCTGTTTATATTTAAGAAAGACGGTATAACAAAAGTAGTATAGGCATGGGAATGCGTGGGGACCACAATCCTATCCATGTTGTCGATCTCGACTCTCCATCTTTATCTTTGTTGGGGAATATGATCACATCCTTATATATCATCGTCTCCAATGGGGGATTGGAGATCTTTTTACTGTTAATATGAGATATTTTAATTAAAATGTGTTGAACATCACACTTGATCCATAATGGTCCTTGTTTTAAATCTTACATGTTTTCAAAAATTTACTTTTGTGGATTATCATATATTCATATGTTAACAAAATTACAACATCATACGTAATTGTTTGATAAAACCACCCCAAACTTTAATATTAAATACTTGGTTATCTTTCTCTCTCTCTCTCTCTCTCTCTCACACACACATATATAGGGGCTCATTTCAGGGAGAACTAACTAGTTCGTAGTAACCGTGAGATCCAATCTCAACCACAAATCAATAGATAATTTAGAAAATTTATAATTTTAGTAATTTTGAATTAAAATTCTAATACAAAGGCATTTTAGGTCTTTCTTTCCTCTCTCCTCTCTTCTCTCTTTGTCCCCCTCCGACCATCCGTTCTCCAGTGATACCATTGTGATACCTAAAAATATTGACTTTGTAACAAAAATCACAGTGTGATATCCAAGCACATATAAGATGCATTGTGATAGCGTATTGTTACATCTCCGATCGACCACACAAACGACCTCAATGTGATAATCAAACACACATATAAGATGCATTGTGATACCATTGTGGTATCACCGGAGAACGGAGGACGGGGGATGGAGAGAGAAGAGAAGAGAGTTTTAAAATACATAAAATGTCTTTGCATTAAAATTTTAATTCAAAATTACCAAAATTATAAATTTTCTAATTTATCTATTGATTTGTGGTTGAGATTGAACCTCATGATTAGCACAAACTAATTAGATCTCATTTGATTAGGCCCTTATATATAATTTTAAATTTTAAATTTTTTTATTTTTATAATATAACACATTTTAATCATGAGCATTGATCAAAAAATGGATGGATGAGATCGGTTTGTATGGTTTGCACAAAAGAGAATGATTTGCAATTGATCGCTCCTCTCTCTCTCTCTCTCTCTCTCTCTATATATATATATATATATATATATATGTGTGTGTGTGTATATATATATATTAGAAAGGTATTTGTTCAATGCAGCGCGAGATACATCTTCATCTTAATGTTTCGTTTAATTTTTTTGTCTCTGTTGATATATAATATGGTTTATGTGGTTTTCATTGAAATAATGTTTCTACTTTTAAATAAAAATAAATTTAAAGTATCATAAAAAATTTAAAAAAATATCGATATTAATATCAAATTGAAAAAATATATCGATATTCATCTCCTCTCTTCTCTTTCCTCTATCTCCTCTCAACTCTCTTCATCAACTCTCCAAGGAACATCATATCAACACATGATGCACACTGTGATACGCTTCATAAAATAACGAAAAAAACAATGTGATACACTTGGTAAAGAAAACATTACCTGATATATTGTGTTACACTTCATAAAACAATAAAATATATTGTGATATACTTCGTATAACAACAAAAATACATTGTGATACACACTATGATATCAGATCTGGTTGATGAATACAATTGTGATACCACTATGTTACTACTGTGATACCCAATAATTTTTAACAGTAAGAAATTATATATTTATTTTCTCAACTGTAACTTCATAGAAATAAACTTACATAATTTGTTTGATTAATAAGAAAACAATATCAATCTCTTTGATTGATATTAAGAAAAATATTAATAAAATTACTAATATACTCTTTTTCTTAATTAAGGTAATACAATAAATATAATAAAATTATTGGCTCTTATTGAACCTCACAGTTACCGCAAACTAATTAGTTCTTATTTGATTAGGCCTATATATATATATATATATATATATATGTGTGTGTGTGTGTGTTTGGGTTCACGTGAGACCAAGGGTTTTTCATAAGACTTGTAAGACCAATTTATGTTCATTGATCAACTTTATAAGTTAATGATCTAATGGTCTAAAGTTGCACGGTGGCAATTTTTGTGATTATTGAGAAGTATTGTGACAATTTTGTGATTATGAATGTTCAGATTGTAGATCTAATTCAAAGGTTGAGAATTGGTTTACGGGTATATATATACATAGGGGTTGGTTCAAATGCTAACCAATATTATCGTGTTAACTTTGTTAACCGATATTGGCCGTTAATTTGAATAATAAACGGCTGTGATTTAATGATATTTAAAAATTAATATTTTCAATTAGCATATATGAACAAAATGTCAAAGGGTATTTAGGTAAAAAGTAATTTATCTTTGATACACGAGTTGTCAGACATATGAACAACTTGTGTATATCCTCAAAACACATCAAACAAAAAAGATTAGACATATGAACAACATGTGAACTGTATGAACATCTTATGTATATTCAGGAGCCAACTATGTAGTATGTACATGAACACCTACGAAGCTTGTGTTCACATGAATCACCTATATTGTTCATATTCATGTGATGTGATTGTGCATATGTATCGATATGAGCATCTATTGCCTTTGATATGTGTTCATTTAAATGAATTCAAATGTCATACTAATCACTTACCAATAGGAACGCTTTGATCATTTTCTTCATTATCGGAATTCGAATTCCGAATGTAGTCGTAGACGATTTTAACTTTGTCATTTTCATTGTTGTCGATCTGTTTTACAATATGTTTATCCATATTACTCGGACGATATGGAAATCTTTAACACTTACGAAAACAATATTATTATATGGAGAACATCATTTGTAAATTATGATCATGAACACGTATGAAATCAAATACAATATTACATCATGATCAATTAGTGATATTTTTTAGATTTTTGTAACTCCCAATTAATTATTTGGGAGTTACATGAATGTCAAATTACCTAATTATCCTTGTATTTAATATATGAGTTATATTTGAACATAAATAAAAGGTGGAATATGATTGGTTGATCTTGGTTAGCATAGTTAACACAAATTTATTGGTTAATATTTGAACCAAGCCATATATATATATATATATATATAGAGAGAGAGAGAGAGAGAGAGAGGTTGGTTATTATACAACCTCTTACATTTGTACACCCAATACAACTCAATCTCAACCGTCCGTTTAATTTGATGAATATGTAATTTATAGAAGTTTTGATTATTTCCTATTATAAAGTATTAA